TATTAAATATATAGAATTATAAATATATAAAAATTGTATTTCTGCTGCCATATACATATTATACACTGTTTCATTAATTAAAACAATAAACTTTTTAAAAAAGAAAAGATTTTTCATCTTTCTATTGATAGCTTAAACAAAAAAAATTATACAAGTTTTTTGTTCTCACGAAAATTTAGATAGAAATAACGATTTTAGCCAATGAGCTTATATATATTCCGTCTTATTTTCTTCTTTTCTTCTTCTTCTTTTTACATTACATGAAGTAGATATCGAATTATTTTATTCAATTCTAAACTTCAAATTTAAGAAAAGAATGAAAACATCTCACAAATTTTTCCAAATATCTTAAAATTAAATGTAATAGCAATATAGTTGTAATTTCGTCTCTTCTTTCTTCAGATTTGGTCGGAAGCCGTTGCTGATAATATCCGGCACAATGATGACCATTTGTCTGAGCGTCTTGGGTTATTACTTCAAGCTCAAGGATGGAGGAAATGACATGAGTACTTTTGGCTGGCTGCCACTGACTAGCCTCGCTCTCTTCAACATTGTCTTTTCGATCGGTTTCGGATCCGTGCCATTCACGATAATAAGTGAGATATTTCCGCCGGAAACCAAGGGTGTTGCCAGCAGCTTGTCTATAGTAGTGCACTGGAGCCTAGTATTTGCTGTCACCAAGCTGTTCCCAACCATGGAGTGCAGGATGGGCCAGGCCGTGACTTTCTGGACCTTCTCATGCTTCACTGCTGCGTCCGCGATTTTCTCGTACTTCGTAGTGCCGGAGACGAAGGGCAAGACACTGCAGGAGATACAGAGCAAGCTCAAACGAAGGCAAGAATCGAAAACGGAATGTCAAGTCGAACCAGTCTGAAAATATCGGCATCTTGCAGTATTTTTATCTTGTTGCACTTTTGCAGCGCCGAAATTAAGTCGGCAAAGGTCGAAACACTAAAGTCCTAATAAAGCTAGTGAAGGAAAGAAAAAGAAAGAATGAGAGAGAAAGAGAGAAAGAGAGAGAGAGAGAGATGTGTTTTATATTTTTTCTTTTTTATAAAAATATATTTATCATAAGCGAATATTAATTCCACTTTTTGTGTAATTATTATACGATGAATACGATAAATGAGTTTCAAATGTTGAACACACCTACTGATGTGTAAGTATATCTGCACTTTTATATGTATATACACTCGAAAGATTAAAATTGTAAAAAATGAAATACAAATGTCTTTTTATAGAAACTTAATTTCATTTTATTAAAGTTAATCAAGAATTATTTATAAAATATTATTATCCTGGTGAAAATTTTTCTTAGAATTCTTCAATTTTGCAGAATTTTTATATAAATTTCCGGAGTCCCTAAAATTCCACATAATTATATTATTTTTGAAAAAATTTCTCAAATTTTTATTTTGGAATATTTTTCGGATGCTAAGAAAATTTATATTTTTCAATAAAAAAATTTTTTATATTTTATATGTTGGATATTCTTATTATTCCAGAAAAATATTTCAAGCGTTTTATAATTACGTACAGTAATTAATATTAAGTTATTTCTTCATTAAATTAACAAATTTTTTTGTATCGCAAACAATGTTACCGACAAACTAACATCCAAGTTAAAGTGAATTCTATTCACTGGATGTCACGCGCTACACGTTTGTGAGAAATACAAATAAGAAGTTAAGAAATAAGAAGAGACAGAGAAAAGAATGTTATATTTTATTTTTTGTGTCAATCGTAAATCGTGCATAAAAAAATATTATATCTATTTTCTATCTTTCCTTGATATTGTCAATTATATATTGTCAATAATACAACAAATGATAATATAACAAACTCGTTTCACATTATTCAATAGCATGTACCTTTCTTATCGAGTCATGGTAAAAGAAGTCAAATATTTGCATCTCTTAGAATTTCGCAAAGATAATGCTTCAAAACGATTGTTAATTTCATTATTCATTTATATTATTTTATATGCAAGTTTTGATTTAACTGAATTCTTATATATTCTTAATTGAATTCCATAACTTATTTTGAAAGCTCGACTATTTGCTTGTTCACAATAAAAAAAAACATTTTATATTTGTGTTAAACCGGTCCTTACTAAAATTTATGTTAAATTTATCTGAATGTTAATTTAACATATATAACGTAATTATTATTTTTTAATATTTTGTTAAATTAATATTTAACATTTATTAGTATTAAAATAACAAATTTATAAGTAAACAAATAATACAAAGACTATATATTTTAAAAATATAAATTTTAAGATAAAAAATAAATGTACGTGTAAATTTAAAATTTTTTAAATGTTCATTGAACAAATATGCTTTCACAATTTATTTCCAAACTATATCGAAGTGTTACATTCTTTGTGTTAATTTTTACATAATGTTTGTATCTCTTTCTAATATTTAGATTTATCTCATGTAACATTAATATGAAAATTTGGATGGACTGTTTAGAACACGGGATGCGTTAAATTTAATATAAATTTTTCAATTGATTTTTTCTAAACTAATTAATTTATAAACTCTTTCTTTATTTCTGATAAATTGTTAAAAAAATCCCTGAGTTTTATAAATTAAATCACCACAAATAAATTCTCATCGATTTTTATTAAATCCACTTGTCTACTGCCGCTACTTGTTGCAGCAGAGTATAACAAGTGGTATAAAAGCAATTCGGTCACCGGCAGAGATATTACATTAAGTTTCACAATAAGGGATTACTATTTGATTTAAGTTAGGTACCAAGTATAATGAGGTAAGTGAGTAAAAGGAGTCCTATTCCCCGCGTGCATTCTTCGGAAGTGCTTACAATAGAGAAATCCTGTTTGTGACAGGATTTGCTTTTCGCAATAGCGAAACCTTGATATCAACTTTAACATCATTATGTCGCCTTATTTGATGCAAATTATTTAATGAGAAAAATTTCTGATTGAAAAATGAATGAATCAGGAGATCCTGATCATATCAATCAGAAGTTCTAGTTATCTGATTATCTCAACTGGATTATTATAATCTGATTATCTTAATTAGAATTTTGATTGATATACGGAAAGAAACGATTTTACTAAAGTGTGTAACAATTTAATTTAGATACAAATCTGAAAATTTATTGGATTATCAAAATTATTATGTAGAATTCAAACATAATGAGCAATACTACAAAAAAGTTTAACATTCTAGCAACCAGTATAAGAAATTATTCTGATGATCTAACAAATTTTATTTTTAAATCTGTATCTAATTAAATATTTAGACTTTAACAAAACCGTCTTCTTTTCGTATATGATCAAAATCTATTGATTTGTTTCGTCTTCAATCAAAAATTTTTCCCAGGGTCGTTTCTGTATTTCTATCTCTCTCCGTTATTACAATTGTGAAACGAAGCAAATCACAATTTTCTTAAGAGCTATGCGAGTTGAAAAATTGCACGTGTAAAATTTACCTAGAAATTTCTCGACTAGATCAAAATGAATATTTCTTTAACAAAAATATCATTGCGCTATACTTCTTTTATATCCTTTTATTAAACATAATAATTATGCGTTTCGCGCATATTAAAATCTTATTTAAATAAAATTCCGATTTTATTTTAATATAATTCTGAATTCAATGCTTTAATTCCAGTCTTTACATCAATAGAATCTTGCCTAGAAATTTCGTTATCAAGTTTAATATTCAAATTTTAAAAATTGCAGCAAGAAACGACGTTCAGATAAATTTTTATAGCAAGACAAATATTCAATTTTTTTAACAAGGAATATTTATATTACTCATCAAAAATACGCATCGATTAATAATAATATTAATCAAGCATATGCTTTCATACAATAATCAATAAAAAAGGATATAACATTAATAATTCTGCGCGTTACATAATAGCCACCACGCTACTACTGGAAAGAATACAAAATCCTTTATGAAGACATAAATAAATGAGCAGCCATCAGCACTTGCTGAGAGATGAGAAGTTTGCAGTGCTATAAATCCTAAGTAGGACTCAGTTTCCGGAGGTTTGAACAACTTATCCTTCATAAGTCCCGCTGATGACGTTCCACATTGTGAAGTTTCGCCATCTCTTTCCACTGTCTCCGAAGACTATTATGGCGCGGGAGGACGCGCGAAAGGTGGATGAAAGAGAAGTTGTAATCACATGTTGTAAGGACGATTGGACGTAAGAATGATGTGAAAAGCAATATCCGGCATATCCGTCTCTCCATCTCTTTAACGACAAGCTTTTTATTGTTGTTATAAAAATGCTTCGATTATCTCATATATATTTATTGAGAAAATAGTGTGCGATTTGTCAGAGCTCTTTTATATATCCACAATTTTCTAGTAAATGTCTTGTTCGGATAAAGAATATTTCGAAGGTATCTTTCCTTGCTAATTAATGGGCTGTGAAATATATTTTTTCGCACTATATTATACGTCTCTCGTCTTTTTTAAAATATAATACAAGTAAATTTTCGTTTCAACATAGAATTTCGATACTTTCATGTTTATAAAAAATTCTACCTGTGATTATCGTGTGATACATTTAAGTTTCGTGTAGACATGTTATAAAATTAATTAATATATTATATTCTATTATAATAAGTTAGAAGAATGAAATAGAATTTATACATTTATATCGTGTTTAATTCACGAAAATCGTCTTATAAACATAGAATAATATTTTCTCCTCCATCTAAATTCCTCTGAATATTAAATCAAGAACTAGATTTCACAATTCATTGTTGCAACTATATTCTTGCATAAATGGAAAACTATAAACAATCCTGGTTACACATATATCGCGAAAACGATGTATTGTTATATCTTACATCAGTAGCTTATATCTCATAAGAAATATTACGATATTACATGCCTTGGGACAAGGTTTTGTTCAAACCATGCGTCAAGATGCATATTCAGGGGGGCACAGCTGTTACATATAATCTTCTAGTATCACGACAAAGTTACAGAGATTTTCTGAAATCACATTTAGCGCACTAATGACTTGTCCGCCCCTTCTTGACAAAAGAGTCAGAAAAAATATATTTGCATTCCGCAACAATTCTAATCTTAAGAATAGAAATGCTACACATAGGGTTATATACAGTAAAAATATTTTGTGTTTGTATAAAAATGGAACCTTATTAATTAAAATTTTTATATTGAATTTTTAACGGTATCTGATGATTGATTTAACATAACGTGATTACATTGTTTGAATATTTTATTCAACTAATTTAACATTTCAAATATTAAAATAATATAAGTCATGAATAAGTGAGTAACTAACAAAAATAATGTTTTAAAATGTAAATTGTGAACAATATGTAAAAAATGAGGTCAACAATGAACAAATAAGATGTTACAAAAAGAAAATTAATTTATTAATCTGATACATAATACTGAATGATAAAAAGTGACATTTTCATAACTCCAGAACAAAATTAGTCATTTTTTTAGTTCTTTGGCTGCTAAATACGAATCTGTCTTTAAAATTATTCTATCAAGCCACAATTTAGAGAAATTTGTAATTAAAATTATAAAAGGATTATTTTTACATCTTTTATCCAAAAAATTACGGGAAATCACTAATCTTGATTTTTTTTGTCAAACAATGTAATCAGGGTATTGAATATTTCGATTGCACGGAATCTTTTCAGCGTGCGCAGTAAAATTTTCTTTCATGATAATTTAAATAAAGTATTGTGTGAAACATGACGCATACAAAAATGATGAAAAATCGAAATATTTCCAATCGATTGTATATGAATAGGGATTAATAATAAAAGACCAGCAAACTAAAAATACATTTCACAAACCTTATATAGATCTAGATATTAATGAATTATTGATCATCAAAGGTAAATGTATATAAGTATATTGTATATAAATGTATATAAATATATTGTATAAATGTATATAAATATATTGTATAAACGTGTATAAATGTTGTAAGATAAACGTATATAAATATAAAAAACGTATAAACATATAT